GACCTGGATATAGCCTATAATTAAAACTGAACTCCAGACAACAGAAATCTTTCTCCCTGAAGAAAATGACTGCTTTGGAGAGTGAACACTATAGCATTATATTCGGCTGTTGCCTCCCCTCTCCACAATCCCTGCCATCCTCAGACTCCACCACAAAATCTCCAGGAATTTCCCAACCTGGAGCTGACAACCCTAGTCAGGCCTAGGGAGGCCAGCCTCCAGGTGGGACCTGGGGATCCCCTGGAATTACAGCTCATATCCAGACTATAGAGATCAGTTCCCCCACAGAAAATGGGTGCTTTGAAGGGTGGACTCCATAGCATTGTACACCACTGAGGTCCCTGTCCTCCCCAAGCCATTCTCCAAATCTCCAAGTGTTTCCCAGTTTGAATCTGGCAACCCTACCTCGCATCCCCTGCTGGTGGTCAGGGGGACCTGGCAACCCTACAGGCCTGGCCCCAGTGAGTCCTCCCTCAAAAGCCAAAATAGGCCCTGTTCCTTTCCCCTGCCTTTTACTGACAGAACCAAGCCTGGATTCTGTGGTTGCCTAGCAATGGCCACTGAGCCCATTGCTTAAAGCTAGAGGCACTCCTTTTATAATTCTTTTTTTTTTTAAGCCCCATGTATCTTTTTTAGATTTCAGATTTTTCTGCAAACCTGAGGCTGCTTTCAGGTTTGTAGAAAGATCTCTCTTGCCCATTCACAGCTCCAGTAACCAGATTTAAGTATCCAAAGATTTGGCTGACTTCACTATTAGTATATAGACAAGTAGAGATCCACAAGAAACTTGCAGAGGGGGCATCCCCCTCACATTTGTTTCCTCCTCTCTCCCCCTATTTCTATGCCTCTCACTTTTTCTGCATCCTGCCACCCCTTCTCTTACTTTCCCCCCTACGCCTGTCATTCTCTCTGCCCCCTACTCTCTCTTTTTCATTCTTTCTGCCCCCTCCCCAAACTCTCTTCCCCCACTGCATCACTCTCTTTCTGCTCCCACCTCATCATTCTCTCTTCCTCAATCTTTCTGTCCCATCACTCTTTCTCTTTCTGCCCACCCACCCCAGCACACTCTCTTTCTACCTTCCCACCCGGCACTCCCTCTTTCTGTTTGTCTCCCACACCTCTGCTGAGGCTTCCCTCCCATCTCCCCCTCCTTTCTGGCTCACCCTGAGCAGCTCTGGGCAGGCCTGTCGAGCTTCCCTCCCCCCCTCGCTGCTCTTGGTGGCTCTCCTGGAGCTGTTCCGGGTGGACCTGCTTCCCCCCCCCCCCGGCTTTCAGCGGCTTGCCTGGCACAACTCCAGGCAGGCTGGATCCATTGGCAGCTCCCAGGCTTTGCTGCCCCTGCAGCAGTACCCTTTGCTGCCAGAACTTTCAAAGGTAAGTGCGTTGTCTGTGCTTTTTATATTGGGGGGGGGGATTTAATCCCCCCAATGTTTTTCTTTTTAGTTTTCAGATTTTTCTGCAAACCTAAAGGGTCCTCCAAGTTTGCAAAAAAATCTGTTTTGGGTTAGCCTGGCCCTGATCCACAGATTTAAGTAACTGCAGATAGAGGGCACACTTGGGAAATAGATATATAGATACTTTTGTTATGAACAGCAAAGACTGCCACTATAGTCTCACACTAAACATTGTGTGCTGTGGTAATGTGTCTCATGGCAAGAGTAATGCATCCTGTCCATCTTCTGTACTCTAATATATGGCTAATGTGTAGTATATATTATCATAATCAAAGTTTAAAAACTTGAGATGTCTTTCCATAGTAGCAGGGCTACTGAGAGGAGAGCATAAAATTCCAGCAAGGCACTGTTGGAATATATTAGAGGTAAAGGTTTCCCTTGCTCAAAAGCCAGTCAAATCCGACTCTATGGGGCGGTACTCATCTCCATTTCCAAGCTGAAGAGCCAGCGCTGTCCGAAGACATTTCCGTGGTCATGTGGCTAGGTGCACGGAATGCTGTTACCTTCCCACTGAAGTGGTACCTATTTATCTACTTGCAATTTCTTGCTTTCGAAGTATGCCTATTTTAATCAAGCTTCTTGAGTTGATTCATTTAAATGTGAGGAGGCCCCAGAAAGATATTAGTCTGGGGGCCATGGTACCTCTCAGCAGCCCTGCATTATGAGTCCTGATGTTGTTCATCTTATCTTATCTAATTTCGCTTTAGATTAATATTGCAGGTTGTCTTCTTCTGTGGTAGTGGAATACTGTTAATGTATTGCATTAAAGTAATGTCATTGGGTTGTGAGGATATTTTTATTTTTGTAAAACTGTGAAGAAGATATGAGATTATGGCTATAATATTTTGCGTGGTTCTAGAATCCAGATCCTGTCAGGCTCCGTACCAGAAAATCATAGTATTTGGATCAATTATGAGCAGGTTGGATGCTGTGTAGGAAAGTAAATGAGTATGCAGAACACTAGGGTAAGGTATATTTTTACTGTGGAGGTATCTGAAGTTAGTGGTGCTGATCCAGGAAGGAGCAAAGCAATAATAACATGGACAACAGAAAACAAGATAGCATTCCTGAGATGAGAAGATAGAAGGTGATGCATCAGAGCAAATGCAAATATGTAAGCAGCAGCTAGTTGCTTTTTTGTTTATACTTAAAAACCAAGCTGGCCCATTATTACCATATGCAGTTGGGAAGATGTATGTGCTAGGCATTTGTCCATGTAAATGAAGCCCATTTCCCAGTTTCCATTCTAATACAAGCCAAGTACAAGAAAGAAATTTTTCTTCCACCGCCTCTCCCTCCTTTTTTAAAGGAGCTGCAAGCTGAGGTTCTAACGTGGCATATAGAAGTTGAACACATAAATTCCAATGGATCGTTTTAACATAGGGACAGAATTCTTGGGAAAGTTCTAAAACAATAGCTGTGATCTGGTATCTAGAAAGAGTTTATTGAGCAGGATATAAATACACTGAAGCACTCAGAATAATACAAAGCATGTCAATAGCACCGAATGCTAGCATGCCCACAAGAAATGCACATATTCCAAATGCCTTCTCTTCCTGCCTACATGCATATGTGCACTGTAAAGTGTTTTCTTAATAGGGATTAGACAGATTGGGGATGAAGAGCATAAAGGAAACCTGAGGGTTATATTACCAGTGTGGTAGGATCCTGAGCAATAAACTCATTGAGGAAGAAGAAGAAGAGTTGGTTTTTATACCCTACTTTTCACTACCTGAAGGAGTGTCAGAGCAGCTTACAATCACCTTTCCTTCCTATCCTCACAATAGACACCCTGTGATGTAAGTGAGGTTGAGAGAGCTCTAAGAGAGAACTGTGACTGACCCAAAGTCAGCCAGCTGGCTTCGTGTGGAGGAGTGGGGAGTCAAACCCGGTTCTCCAGATTAGAGTCCGCTGCTCTTAACCACCAGACCACACTGGGAGAGGCTGAAGTAACTAGGTACTTGTTGGGGAAGAGCCCCACCTGACCTTGCCTACTTTCAAAAACACTCTGATAGGTGCCAGGAAAGATGTTGGTGGGCCCCATGGGTACCATGTTGGGGCCCCTGGCCTATGGTGATGCCAGCAGTAATGCACACTTCTGGTAGGTGCTGATTATAGAATGCATTAAAAAAGCAGAATGCAAAGAATTTGATTTTTTTTAACTTGGGAGGGAGAATACAGGTGAGTTCACAGGGTATTTCCTGATGGAGTGGGGGGAATGTGATAGAGAGTGTTGTGAAAAAACATACAAATAATGAAGTGTTGGGGCAAGCAAGAGGTGTGTTAGAAGTTATCGTGGTAGAATAACCAAAAAGTGAAGCTCCAGAAATGGGTATCAGCTGTCTAGTCTTGTGAGAAGAGAAAATCTCATTAATGAAGGCAGAGGTAATCAGGAGCTCCATTGTTCCAGGAATGCTACTGTTAGCAAAAGTCCATTGTGTCAAAAGCACCTTGATTAATTTGCTGAGATGCTTTGAGTAATGGTTTAACATTTTTTAGTATTTGCAGATCAGTATCCCTTTGGATTTTCCATTGATAGAAATAGGCTAGGTGTTTTCCTGTCCACACCACCTCTGATACTTCTTGTCATTTGTGCTGTGAATAGCTTGGAACTATGTTTCATGAGCCTGTGGAAGTGGCAGAGATGAGCTGATTACAAAGTTAAGATGGAGGGGGACAGAAATAGGCTAACGAAATGAAGACTTGATAGCAATACCAGTACATTTCCCCCCCTGAAAGGAATTGAATTATTGGATACCATGTAGAAACAAATGACGTTTGATAATCTTCACTGCCGTGATTAGAGATACTGTTTGCAATTTCCCCCAAAATAAATTGCATCCATACCTTTTCATACCACCCAGCAAGAGAAGGGCCTAGATTCGATTTCCACTTAGAAGCAATAGTGAGTCTAGCTGCAGCAATCAGACTAGAAATTCTCTCTCTCTTTTTTGTTTTAAAGGAGGAGGATCTGGCCATAATTCCAATAAAAACAATTCAGGATTGAGGGGGAGTGCCAAATTCGTAACCTCACTTATTGTGGCAACTGTGTTCTTCTAAAAGGATTGGAGATAAGGGCACTCCCACCAGCAGTGCCAGAATGTACCAGTCTGCCGAAAGACTTTCCAGCACAATGGATTGATTGTTATGTTTATGTTATTTAATCTTTGAGGGGTGTAATACCAGTGGGTCTTCATTTTAAAAAGCTGAAGATTAATATTAAAAAAAATTGATTTGTTCGAAGGAGTATGCCAAACCCGTTGCCAGACTGATTCTGAAAGCTCTCTGCCTAAATCAACTGTCCACTTTTTCTGGAAGTTAAACTGCCCTGTGTTAAGATTTCTGAGCAGGATTTGCTCCTCAAAAGGCTAACTATTGATTTTTGCATAAAAAGTTAAAACTGGCATTGTAGGCTATTTAAAATTCATTGCAAAGGAAAACTCAAAAACAATTTTAACCTAAACGAAGCTACTCAGAAGGGTTTCTTGTGTTCAGTCAACCTTCTGAAGAATTTTAATACTTTACTTGACTTCCTTCTCTTTTCAGCTTCTGAATCGCAAGGACAAGACCACCTTTGAGAAACTGGACTATTTAATGTCTAAGGAAGATAATTATAAGAGGATGCGGGAATACATCCGAAGTTTAAAGATGGTCCCCTGTATTCCTTATTTAGGTAAGTGTGAGAACAATCTTCAATAAGGTATCTTTGCTGGTTCTAAGAGGCATACTGGATCCCAACCACATGTTAAACCAATGTGGTTCAGTTAGGCTGTGTGTGAAATATCCTTGCAATTGGGAATGTGGCTGTTGCTCTTCTGCCATGTGATGAGGTGTAAGTCTCCATTTTCTGAGCTGTGGAGAATGTGAAATCGGCATAGCAGAATAGGTCCTTTATCCTAACACAGAGGTTCTCTCATGGTGGAGCTATACTAGAGCCCCTCCTCCCTTCAAAGCTCTCCAAGGTCACTAGCTGCTTTGACCTGACGGAAAATTCCTATCCACCCTATATATGGCGAGCAGTGTGAACCAAGGCAAATTTGCCAAGTCTGCCTGAGAGAAAATGTATTTGAAGTTCAATCTACAACACCCAGTAGCCTGTCTCTAAATGTTTCTGTGTTTTATATTCCAAAAAACAGAAAGCTTCTCCTGTTTGTTAGATGCTTGCATTTTCCTCAGGTTAGGGTAACTCTGCAGGTTCTATCAAACAATATGATATTTAAATGTTAAAATAGAAAGATTTCACTTTTTTATGCTGGGTGTTAATCTGTGATGTGTGAAATCAGGTATCTGTGATTTTTCTATACTATAGAAATTGCAGAGATATACATATTATATTATGACAGGAACCAGATTTAAGAAGATGTTACAGTTGCAGCTTGGGTTTATCAAAAACTCTCAGTGCAGTCTCTTCAATGTAGGACTCCTTCATAAGATTCTTAAAAACAAACAACCCACCTTCCCATCTGTCCGTCGTCATTAATGAATGTTGCTGCTCCCCAAAAATAGAAAGGTATTGATTTCAGTGATCAAGTGTTTTTTTCAGATACCTCCTAAAACTGCAAACCTCTCGAACACAGAAATATAAAAATAATGTATTGCCATATGTGCATAGACCTCCTCATAGTTTAGTATTTGAATGCAGGCAAGAGGTCCCTCATTAGCTCATTTTATTTGGGCTTTTTCTGTTTATTCTGTGAATGCACTGTGTAGGCTTTGGCTTCAATCCCATGACATGTGTTTCTGTGTTTACCTTATAACTTTTCTGAAGAAGTATTCAGAAAATCTTCTTTTTTCTCTCCTCATATCAAAAAGCTGGGTATGTTTAATGGTAAGATCCTCTTCAAATTCAGGTGGGTAGGCAAGCTGGTCTGAAGCAGCAGAACAACATTTGAGTTCAGTGGCACCTTTAAGACCAACAAAGTTTTATTAATGGTATAAGCTTTTGTGTGTAAGCATACTTCTTCAGAAATATAAGAAATATCAAAAGTATATGAAGGTATAATAAAGCTTATACCTTGAATAAAACTTTGTTGGTCTTAAAGGTGCCATTGGACTCAAACTTTGTTATCCTCTTCAAACATTGACCTATTCACTCATTTGTGAAAGTTGGTTGTACTCATATGACTTTGGGGGGTTGCTGTGTTGTGTTTGTATGTGGGGGATCCACACTCATTATGTCTGGGAGAACTATTCCTGGCTAGGTTGTGTTTATACTCAGTGTATATATCAGATTGTAAGATATCACTAGATTGTAGTGCCAGGTATAAACTGGGTATGTGTTTGTGTGGGGAGGATTTAACTGCACATTAAAGCTTCCCCTCTTAACTGGATAAAAGTTGTCAGGACCTGGGCAAGAGGAATATGCAGAGTATGCATTCATGATGGTTATTTGTCTGTCTTGCTAATTTTCTTTCTCTGGTGCTTTCTCCATTGATTGTATTGGAGACAGTTGTGCTTGTTTTGAGACATCCAAGTTTATCATTTGAACCTCAGCATCAATGGTACAGGTCTAAATTAAGGTTAAAAAAGAAAATGGGAAAAGTCTTTCTAAAGTGTGATACCTTTATGAGAAAGAGGACAATGTGGAACAATAGGGATTTATTTATTTCATGTGTCCTGTGGGGACCCAGAGCAGCTTGCCTGGTTTTCTTCTTCTCCATTTTACCCTTACGACAACCCTGTGCAGTAGATTAGTCTGAGTGTGACTGGCTCAAGGTCATCTAGCAAGCTTCCATGGCAAAGTATGGAGTCAAACCTGGGTTTCCCATATCCTAGTCCAACACTCTTGCCACTACACCATACTGACATTTTTATTTGCTGCAACAGTCACCAGGAGCTCAAGATAAACAGGTGAAGGCTGCAAAAAGCTCTCTCTCTCTTCTCAGCAAAGAAGAGCCACTGAACCCCAAACAACACATTAGATTTAGCACCTGATCCCAGTGAGGACTGGCAACAGGACACCAGCTGATGCAGTAGGCTCAGTTCACAGATGAAGGTCATTTTTCTTTCCACTGTTCTACATCTTTGGCACAGAAGAAGATCTCTTGATACCCTGTTCTCTCAATCACCTTCTGTTAAAATTCACATAACCTTTTACTCAGGCAATAGGGCTAATCTTTTTCTTGTGATTCTCGGTTTGTGAGTTCTTTCCTTTCTTGTCTCACTAACCTGTTAGTGTTCTTTGAGGGAGTGAACAAACATGTGGACAAGGGGGACCCAATAGATATTGTTTACCTTGATTTCCAGAAAGCTTTTGATAAAATTCCTCATCAAAGACTCCTAAGTGAGCTCAATAGTCATGGGATAAAAGGACAAGTCCTTTTGTGGATCAAAAACTAGCTAATTCATAGGAAACAGATAAATGGTCAATTTTCTCAGTGGAGGGTGGTAAGCAGTGGGGTACCGCAGGGATCAGTATGGGGTCCTATGCTTTTTAACTTGTTTATTAATGATTTGGAGTTGGGAGTAAGCAGTGAAGTGGCGAAATTTGCAGTTGACACAAAGTTCAGGGTGGTGACCACCAGGGAGGATTGTGAGGCACTCCAAAGGGATCTGTCGAGGATGGGCGAGTGGGCATCAACATGGCAAATGGGGTTCAATGTGGCCAAGTGCAAAGTGATGCACATTGGAGCCAAAAATCCTAAATATAAATACACATTGATGGGGTCTGAACTGGCAGAGACTGATCAAGAGAGAGATCTTAGAGTCATAGTAGATAACTCATTGAAAATGTTGAGACAGTGTGTGACTGCAATAAAAAAGGCCAACGCTATGCTGGGGATTATTAGGAGGGGAATTGAAAACAAATCAGCCAGTATCATAATGCCCCTGTATAAAACAATGGTGTGACCTCATTTGGAGTACTGTGTACAGTTCTGGTCACCACACCTCAAAAAGGATATATAGCATTGAAAAAAGTACAGAAAAGGGCAACTAGAATGATAAAAGGGTTGGAACACTTTCCCTATGAGGAAAGGTTAAAGTGCTTGGGGCTCTTTAGCTTGGAGAAATGATGGCTGAGGGGTGACATGATTGAGGTTTATAAGATTATGCGTGGGACAGAGCAGGTAGAGAAAGAGGTACTTTTCTCCCTTTCTCAGAATACAAGAACTCGTAGGCACTCAATGACATTGCTGAGTAGTCAGGTTAGAACAGATAAAAAGAAGTACTTCTTCACCCAAAGAGTGATTAACACATGGAATTCACTGCCACAGGAGGTGGTGGTGGCTATAAGCATGGACGGCTTCAAGAGGGAATTAGATAAACATATGGAGCAGAGGTCCATCAGTGGCTATTAGCCCCAAGGTATAGATAGGAACTCTCAGTCTGGGGCAAGGGATGCTCTGTATTCTTGGTGCTTGGGGGGGGCAACAGTAGGAGGGCTTCTAGTGTCCTGGCCCCACTGGTGGACCTCCTGATGGCACCTGGTATTTTTGACCACTGTGTGACAGAGTGTTGGACTGGATGGGCCATTGGCCTGATCCAACATTGGATTCTCTCATGTTCTTATGCTGCTACCTTTCCTTTGTTTAGTAGTAGTGTTATAGCTCCATTTCTTATTGTCGGGTACTTTTCCATAGTCACTCCTCCTATTCCAACATGTTAGTTGCTATAGCATCAGCATATAATTGTGTTGTTCTATTTTTCCTCTTCAGGAGATTCAGTTAACTAACAATGACCTCAAGAAATATGGATGAATTGTTTGTAAGAACCTTAACAAATTTTGCAACTTGTTTAAAAATGTGATTTTTTAAATCATGGAACACTTTTTCTCCCCACCCCAAGGCCAATCATCTTAAAAGCACACAGCTAGTAAAAGAGCTGCCAGGAAGGCGTGGTGGAGCTTGGTGGTAGTTGAAGTTGGTGGCATGCTGTGGAAAAGAAACAGTGCTGGAATTAATGAAGTACTTTAACATCAAAGGAAATGTGCATATTTCTAGGGTCTTCTCTGTCTGTAATTTTTATGGTTGGGAGAAGAAAAGAGGGGAGGAGAAACTCTAGACTCATATTCAAGATTATGAGGTTGATTTTTAGTTGAACACAGCATAGTTTTTGTGGTTGAGGAAGCAGTTTGGAGGATTTTTTTTAAAAAAATCCAGAACTTTTTCCAAATCCTATAACTTTTAATTCCTTAGACCATCCACCTCAATTATATATTCCCTGCAAAGTTATGTATTATGTTGGACCATTATCATGCTAGCTCTTATCATAGGCCATTTCAAGGTTATTATATGTAATTAGATCTGAACCATAAAAAGAACCATATCAGCATATCAAAATACATTCATAACCTTAACATTTAGAATGTATGGTATCTGGCATACTCTAAATATCAGTGCCATCACATATGGTAAATGAAGCCTCAGCTAGTTCAATCATTGCTTTAATAATTTTTGTTGCTGCTGCAGCCCCATGACTATAAATGGTCCCAATCTGAATTGGACCTTTGCAGCTCTTTACAATTGTATACCCACAAGGGACTCACAGCTGTCATATGACTGCAAGTCCCCATGGTGATCACATGTTTAATGTAATGCATAGTTCGGGCGTTGTCCCTTTATACTTATCACTAAACCAAGGGATGTTTTTCCTGTGGAACAAGGTTGATTATGGAATGAGGGTTTGCTGTTTATAACTCCAGTTGAAAAAACAGTAAAGACAATAAATAAATTT